TTTTCATGGTAAATTCCTGTTTTGATTCCATATCAGATGATTCAGGATTTTCTGAGACAAATGATCATCAGCTAACTTGCTTTTAAGCAAAATGCTGAATCTACAAAATCATGTGTGAGGTAACTAAAATTAATAAAACAAAGAGTTTATACCAATTACTTCCTCTTTGCATCAGTATCACCAACCCCATACCCACCCTCCCAGGTACCAGCAGTATCAATTGTGGCTGCAGCACAAACCAATCAAGGGTGTACTGACTTAAACCAAGTCAAAGTGAGTCTAATTAAGTGAACAATAAGAAAAGGGAATGGGCAGCCTAGAAATCAGAAGGAAAAAAAACCCACCTTCCAACAGTCAAGAGTGGCAGTGCAATATTTGACACACCATCCTACCAAATAATCCAATATATGAAACTCAGTTCTCATTGTGAGGTTTTCTTGCTTTGTTTTCTTTCCACAGGCTTTTGGTGCACAAACAACACTCAAATATGTTATTAAAAACATTTCCTTGAATGTTTTAACTCCATATGTGCAGCTTAGTTATAATTTAAGCGTTTAGGAGCTGATGCAGATCTTGCTGTGAAAAGACTCCCCTGATTCAATATTTCTTAGGTAAGATCCAAGAATGATTAAGAAGTACTTTAGTTTTTCTGCAGAATGGATTCTACAGACACTGCTCATCTTAGAATTGTGCCTTCCAGACAGGCACAGTATTCAAAGTTACAAACAGAAACCATAAGGTACACTCTCTAATACACAGAAATCAATAATTAGGTCCCATATTTACTTGTAACAAAATCTGTATTTGATATACTATTACTCTTCTACAGCTTCATTTTACCCTAGGATTTACTTTGTAACTCTTTTTTCAATTGTATCTATTTAGTAACATTTAGATATGTGAAGAAAACAGTCTGTTAGATCTTAAATCAGTAAACTACAAAAACTCACAGGAAAATAAACAACTTTGATTTTCATTCATATAATATCCACAAGTCTATGCAAATTACTGACTTCCTATATACCATTAAATATTAATGATCAAAGAACTAAACTTAGATTGTATCCACCATCAAAATAAAGCTAAAATTTAACATGTACATGATAGTTTTTCTCTAATCCTTGCTTCTTCTTCTATGAAACTTCTTTACTTGGTTCCACAAAGGAAGGAGTCAGTTCATAACAACTCAAAAGACATTATGTTCTCCATATTACTTTCCCAATTATTTAAGACAGAAGTTGGGTCTTGGCAAAACAAATCTAAATATTTTCAGAAAACCTTAGTGTCTTCCAAGGACTGCAGGTTCTATTGCTCAGAAAAGGGGACTTAATATTATATTTCAAAAATAGATGTTCTTCAGCAACATGAATGTGTGACTCACAAGTACTGTTTAATATTCTGGAATAAGAGAGGTGGTAGAATTCAGTAAATTCAAAGACACTGAGTATATTATACAAAAATCTCCACTGTCAGAGTCACTCTGTTTAACATGCAAAGACAGTCACTGCAAAACAAAATAAATGCAAGAACCAGCAGGTTTATGTCAAAAGGGAAGAAGAGGAAACCATAAAAATTATCATCCTAATCTATCTATGGATTTCCTGCCATATTCTTAAATCAATGCTGATACTTCATGAAATTTAAGTAAATTATCCTAAGAATTAGCAGCTTGATGTCAAAGAATTCCAAATGCAAATAATGTTCTTTTCCACAACATCTGTCACAGTAACATCGTTGAATAAATGCAAATGTAAACTGGAAATGGAGAAATATGTTGCATACTAGACAGAGTTTAGGTCAGAACACGGTGAAGTTCAGATTTTAATTCTCTGTCACTGTTCTACCAAGCACTATTTCTGCTGGAATAGTTAACCAGTCTTTCCCTCTTTTCAGGTTTGTAACAGACCACTCAAGAATCAGCATGGAGAAAATTCTCATTTAATATTCTCAGGCGTTGCTTCCAAATTTCCTTGCTTTGTTGCTTCTTGGCAGCCTGTCAAAAAAGCACCTTTTGGGTTTTCCTGAGCCAATTCTACTACATCATCAAACCTGCAGCAGCAGAGTCTGCACGTGGGGAGATTTTTAGTGCAGCCAGAACAACAACCCTTGCATGTAGGAAGGAAGTGGAACCAAACCAGGAGCCTGCCCACAGCCCAAAACTACCAAGAGAGCAAAAGGATCACGCCATGCAGACCATCCATCCCTCTGGGACACCACTTGGGACAAGAAGACTTGACTTTCCAGAGAGGACAACAAAGAGGATCTGGGGTTAGAACTCCTCTGCCTGGTCATTCCTGACAGCCCAGGACACCCTTGGCTCTCCAGCAAAGCCTGAGACTCAGAGTGCCCCAGCTGTGATCCAGCAGGCAACACAGGGGTTCAAGTTCCTAACCCCTCTGGCAGTGGGAGATTCTTACCAAAGGTGTGCATGGCAAGCTGAGCTTTAACTTCTCAGGAAGAAAAAGGAAAATGTTTAAAAGGCACCAGTGCTAAGGTAATATTTACATTTCAGAGTAAAGTCATTGACAGTTGAGAAATGTAAACTTTGCAAGTGTTTGAGTAGCTGCTGTTTAAGCAAACTCATTTCTGGTTTTTTTAAGGATGATTTTGGACAACATATGCAATTACATGATCACACAGTATTATTTTGACAAGACCTTTTGCTCATCTAGTGACTACAAAAGCTGCATGAACAAGCTAGGCATTTTGTACACTGATTTTAATTTCTTCATCAACTAGAAAAATATACCCAAAAGTCAGGAATTTATTCAGGATTAAAATTATTTACATTTTCAGATATACCATTTTTCAAGACACGTTTTAAATTTTTTGATGTTTTTTGCTTCTGAACTGACCAATTAACAAAGAAGATGCCAAGTTGTTACAAACTTCCTGATGAGAAGAAAAACTGAATTAGGTGTAACTTCATGGTGCTGAAAGTTAAATGCATTTGGATATTAGTATGAAGTGGTTACCAAGAGACAGAGAATTTCTATAAATTATTATATTTTAATGTATTTGTTTTCTGATAACATTGAAGCTTCTTACGTGAGAGTTTTTGGTGGCAGCACTCTTTACATATTGGTTTCCACAAATAAGAAATTGCTGTGGATGCCTGATTGCTTCCTTTGCATTATATCTATTTTGTTTGCAAAGGGACTTTTAATAATTCACTATTGCTCTCAAATAACCCTGTGCAAGGCACAAAATGGATACATTTTTGAAAACGGATGAGTGGGTAGTCAATAACCTAACCAAGATCACAATACTGGCAGGTTTTGAATAGTATGGTCGTGCCTTATCTTTCTGTTTAATTCATCAAGTCTCTAAATACACTACTAAAAAGGTGTCTGTGCACCTGGGCAAGGGTAATTATTAAGTAGCACTGTCCATTCTTACCTTATCTACACATACTGCAAATACAAAAACAATTTATGCTTTCAAAATGTTAAATAATAGATTCTCTGATTTAAAAAAAATTCTACTTGTAGCACTCTGTGAGATAAAACACATTTTGCAACTTATGTCTCTATGCTAATATTTGAAATTCAATTACAGAAGGCAATGTGCTGTTTTGACAGAGGAAACTGAAGACTCAAAATTACAATTTTTTTTTTTAAATAATGTTTCAAACTTCCCCTGACAGTTGAGCCCTGCCTCCTTCCTAGATATACACAAAACATTTCTGTGGTGAAGTAATTTCCTTAACAATACCACAAATATTTGCTTTCCCACTCCAAAAATTTATACATGCAGAAAGAAAATTAAGCTTGGATAGGTAGTATTAGACATAATTACCAACTATTGTATTAGTACTGAATTAATCTCCCAACAGGAGTGGGAACATCACTCAAAGATTATTGATTGAAATGGCCAATTTCTAATTTCCATTCTTTAAGAAGTTTGGATATGGCAGTAGCTAGGATGCATTAGCAGGGAATTTGCTTACAAAGAGGCAGTTTTATCTAAATCAGTCAACTGGCAACTCCCAAGCACAGCACTGTTTCAACAATTCACTGTTTGCCAACAACATCCCTTGAAACCACTTCCAGCTACATTACAAAGACATCCAACTGCACATCAAACCTGCTGACTGTACATCAATGCTGACTCCAAGGCAGCAGCAGCATTTTAGCCTCCAAAATACTTCAGGCAGCTAAATGGGACTTTTACATCTCAAATACCTTCAGTATTAGACAATTAGGTAGCAGTTAATACTCTATTTTTCTGCAATGGAGTTTGTATTCCAAATTTTATTTCACAATTATTAGCTTTATAAAAATTATTTTGAGTGCTTAGAATGAAACAGCCTCAGTATTAAACTCGACCATAAAAGAAAATTGAATGCAATTAATGTTTGTAATGGTTTCTCTTTGTTCCTCCCCCTTCATTCTTCATCTAGTTCAACAACCATCTATTAGCCTTTGAACAGTCATACCACCAAATTATCAAGCACTAAAACTCAAGAAATACACAAAATGTACAAAATTCCAAACAGAATATGTGAAAAGTAATTTGCATGTGGCTCTTAAGTATGGTAAATGCTGATGGCAAATTTTTAATGCTACCAAGAATTGTATACCTCATACAATTAGTAACTGTTTAAAACATTCATTTCATATATTCCAAATTACAGAAATGTAACTGCAGTCATATTCCTAAAAGCTCCAGGTTGAAAATCACTCTGTGCAGAGTAGAGCTGGTGACTTCAATCAACTTAACCTTAAGTACAAGGATATACAAAGAAGTAAACATAAATAAACTTTGCTCAACTGGCAGTCAGGATAACACAAATTTGCTGTACTTCTCCAGTATATAATTCATTAAAATCTACCAGAAATTTAGTAGTAGCAAGGTTCATACTCAACATCCGAAAGTTACTGTCTATCAAGTCTGGGAAAATATTTTTTTTCCCATCCACTCCTCCTAATTAGAAAAAAACCCATTACTGAATAATTTCAGTACTGCTATAGCTTTGTATTACAGAACAGTGGTTTTACCTTTCCAAGCATCCTCCCAAGGAAATAGTAATGTCGGGCGTACGAGTCTCCAACGAGCATCTGTGCAGCAGGGTTAGGGTAAAGCAGTCCCTCATTGGTGGTCTTAAAAAAACCTTGGTTAGGGTTAAATCCTGATTTGAGGAGTTCATTCAGAAATTCTCGGAAAATTCCACCACCATCAATACCAGCTTCATCAAGACCATGTGCATTAAGCAAGTGAACACGAATGCGTTTTTTTAAGTCGGGTTCTGCAGAGAAAGAAGACAAACTCAAATGCAATTGTCTGCTTCAGTTTTGTATGGATAAAAACTTATGTAACGACACAGAGAGGCTATATATGCTAGAATAAAAACTGACCTAGTAAATAGCAGCAAAATTCTTATTACTGGCTTAAATTTTGGAATATTCAGTTTGTGAAACACTCAGTTTGTAGAAAATGTCTTGTTTTAAGAGTCATAAAAAAAAAGCAGGTAAGACCACAAGGAGGAGAAGAAAAAAAAACCCCACAAAGTATTTAAAAGAGACCCAGAAATAACTTGAAAATTGTATTTATATAAAATATTGTGAGTGCAAGATTCACACAGATTCATGCAAACGTGATTTAATTCAATGTATTAAAATGTATAGTATTACATCCCATCATTAAAAAGAGTCCTGCACTATTATCAGACACATTTTACCTAGCAAGTTCCAGTCAGTTCGTATGCATTTGTTGGCAAAGATTACCAAAGCAGAAAATATCTAATGAATTACAGAGAAAAATATACAAATTACAATTATTCGGATGTGCAAATGGGAAGAAAAGCACCATAAAAATTGATTGTAAAGAGATTTAGACTGCAATAATCAGAAAGAATATGGGCGAAAATTACTTCTGTAAAAACAAGGAAATTTAACTTTTAAGAACTTCCACATCTCAGAGCTGATAAACCCACAGCATACCAGTCAAATAAGCAAATATGGAAGTACATGGTAAGAACAATAGTGTTGCAACAAGCTGATAATTTAACTGCCAACCTACCATTCTCAGGAGAAAGTTTATCATAAGCATCTTCATAAATATAATTTCTTCTGATAGTGACATTAATTCCATCCAAAAATGGCCCATCTCCTTGAACTTCTTGTTTATCAGCATAGATCAGTCTTTGAAAAATCTGTTAAAATGAGTGCAAGGAGCAATCATGTCATTGTGCAGATCTAAACATTCAATGAGAGATGGTTATTCACTACTGTTACTGTCCTTTGAGCTGCCTCTGGCACTCACTTTAAAGTGATTTATCTTCTGTCTCATTGAGCTGCAGAAACTTTAATACAGAGCCATGACCCATGGAAGGGAAGGAGGGGGGACAGAAATGCAAAGAACTTTCCTGTGCTAAGACACCATCCTCAGTTCCTTCTACATAAAGAGGCAAATCTACATATATTGTGCCAGTGCTTCCAGTTTCCTCTCCCTAACTTTGAGTTCTGAAATGCAAAGTATTCAAAAGCAAAGGAAAAAGTTCCATGAGTATTTTACACACACAGAGGTTATTCTCAATACTGGTAAATAATTTTTTGTTGCTTTTTGCAATGGTCAGGAACATTCTCAGTAATAAGAAAATAGGTACCAGTTCCCCTTTGTATAAGCAGTGAACAAATAATTCAGACTAAAATCATGGATGTTACTGCCATATTAAAAAAAGAACCAGAGCATCATAAAAATTCAAAACAATTATGCCTGGTGAAGTACAAACTGAACTTCACACTTTCCATTTTCAAGTCTTCACAACAGGAACCTGCTCCCCTGAAGAATAACTGTTGCTAACTGTGCTTCATGCCAAGATGTAGCATGGGAGGGGGTTGCCTAATGCATAGTAACATCCCCTCTATCCAGGCAGTGTATGTTTGCTATATTCTCTCTTGGCATCATTCCCATATTCAATAAATAGTCTAGAACATTTTCCAAGGGATATAATCTCCCAGTAATATGTCAGACAATTTTTTAATGAAGAAGATAAAGTAAGAGTCTGCAGGGATTTTTAGAAACAACAAATTTTCCATGGAAGACAAAATCTGATCATATCAAACAAAGGTAGAGTAAGATCTCAAATCTACTGGTTTTATGGGCAACTGTTGCTAGTGGAGAAGATGCTTTCCAACCAGGAAAATTACAGTATAGACAAAGCAGGACTCTTTACTAAGGTACACAGCTGGAAAACAAGAGAAAATAGTCCTAAGCTGCAGAAAGAGAAACCAGGGATGGACATAAAGAAAAAAAATCATAATAGGAGTGATAAGGTAATGGAAAAGGTTACATGAGAGTTTGTGAAATCTCCATTTCTGAAGATAGATAAAACTTATCTGGACAAGTCCTTGTGCATGCTGAGCCAAGTCTGAAGTTATTCTTATGAGAGGAAGGATGTGGTCAGAGATCCCTTTTGGCCTTTGTAACATCAAGACATGTAGCCACAGGCACCTTTTTCTATGTACAGAGCATGAGAATATGCTCACCACCACACTACTTTTTGAAGCAGGACTAGATGTAGTTTATTAATTATTGTTACCCAACTCCAGATGAAAAAAATCATCTGGTATTACATCTCATAGAAAAAGTCTTTTTGGCACTGACTCTGACTCCCTACATAACCCAATGCTCCTGGATATGTTAGTCCTCAAAATGAGAACTCTAATGCACAACTGAAGTGTTTGCAATGACTTCAGACAAACACAGGAGAACAAGCAATGCTGACTGAAGCACACACCATGGGAAGTAGCACCACCATAGGCAAGGTGACTGAAGCATGGCCTAAGGAGGTGAGAACCAAGGCATTTGCTACAAATAGGATTCATTCCCTCCTACAGACTAAAAGGTGCACCCCAATGCATCTTTAGGCTGAAGGGGAAAACTCTCTCTGCGGCCAGAAAGCTGAAGAACCTACCATGGAACTGGACTCTGCAATTGCCTGTAAGAGTATCTGTTATCTGGTAAGTCAAGGAAAAAATGGCATGAGGAAGTCAGAAAATGAAAGGGCATATGGAACAACCCACACACACAAGCAGCATTGAGCTTATCATATTAAATTACAGAGCAATAGATAGCAACTGACCAAAAGGGAAAAAAAAAATCTCATTATGGTCGTGGTATTTTCTTCCTTTATTGCAACTTGCTCTCTAGAGGTAATGGGAGACTCCAAAGGAATGCTGACTCCCACTATTATACAAAAAGGACTGTACACACTTGTTCCAAAACAGAGTGTAACAGGATCTCCTCTTTGAACTACAGAAGTTCAGTTGTAGTTTTATCCTTACCTACCAAGCTCTTATGCCACTGTTACTTCAGTTTTTGTGATAAAAGCACAAAATAAATGAATAAAACATAAATGAATAAAAATAATTCTATGAATTCCAGTTGCACCAAAAAAGGCTTTATGAATTCCAAAAACATAACATGAATGCATCTCAACACAGCTTTAAGAAGTCCAGAGTCTGGAAGGCAGTGACTAAGTCATGACATAGAGATCCCTGCTTGAGGTCAGTTCCTACCATTCCCTGTAATCCTAGTATAGGATTGCCATACAGCAATAAGATGTTTTGTTGGAACAACTGTTTCATAGAAGCCTGAGAAAAAAACCACACATTTTCTACCAAAGCTGCCTCTGTCTGTTTTGACAAATAAAGATTGACTTTCCCCATGGAATTATTCTTCATTCCCTTGATCGTGTCTTGAAATGTAACATTTCCAAGACAATTTAGGGACCAGTTTTTACATAATTGATACTAAAACTAAACCGGTTTTAAAAAATGTCTTTAACAGAAAAAAAAGCTTTTAGAATATTTACGATGGAAGCTGAAATAGGTAATAGAACAGTTACACCTATAAAATCTCAAAAACATTCAAAAGCAAATCCAATCAATCAAGAATCTTGCAAGTTTTAAGCTATACACCCCACTGAAGCTCAGCTACTCAGTTACGAATGCAGGAACTCAATCTCTGTGTGTTAATTTCCCCAAATGGAGATGCATTATCTCATTTGGAGCAAACGCAGAGTGCTCAGGCCGAGCAGGGCTGTGAGCCCGCACTCCGGCACAGACACAGGCGGCGGGCGCTGGGCCACCACAAGGGGGCGCAATCAGGCAGAGCCACCTCTGAACCGGGACTGCAAACTGCTCTCCTCCGCCTCGCAATAAATGTTTCCAACTTCAGGGCAAATATTATTAAGGGCAACATAAGTAGGAAAGTAAGAGAGAAATCATTAACTTCGAATGTTCAGTTGCTGCATGGGTACTGAAGAAAAATAGTGCAGACTGCCATATCCTTCTGTAGGGAATCTGAACTGAATCCAGTTTCTACCTGAGTGCTCCTATTACACTTATTCAAAACAACTAAAAAACCAATTGCATATTAAATGAGAAATTAGGTACCTTTACTCTTTCTTCAAAAGGAACTACAAAAGGTAGCTCTGTCAGAATTGCAAGTTGTCGTTCTTCAGATACAGAAAGAGGTGCTGGTTCCAAACCCACTTAAAACAGAAATAATAATTTTAAAAATTTTGGAAACAACATTTTTTAAAACAATTTATTTTGTATCAAGTGACTCAATCTATTTTGTGTATATATACTACTTTGTATAAAAATACATATATTAAAATAGTTTATTTACTATATATTCACTCAAAGCCTTACCTTTCTTTAAACATTAGTTGCTACAGGCAAACTGAAATATAAGCAGTGAAAACACACGAAAACAAAATGCATATAAAAATACATACTTCCATACCTCTATTTTATTCATAAAAAAATAAATCTTACTGACATTTTAGCTTAGTGATTATGAAAAATGCATGACAGAGGACAATTAGTAACTGTGATGATTTAGAATTTTCACTGTAGGAATATACAATACTCCTACTCTCACACTCAAAATAGTTTTCAGTTACTGTGCTTTCAACTACATCATCTACTTTCAATCAAGTTGGTTTAGGTAAAAACCTTTAGAATGAAACCACATCTAAGGAAACCAACAGAAAGATAATTTTTTTTTTCAAAGAGTTTTCTCTCCTAACAGCAAAGTCACAGTGACCACATTAAATCCAGTCACTGCAGAAACAGTGAAAACATCACCAAGAACCTGTATAACGTACTTAAGACAAAAATCTTGGAGAAGAATTCAAGAAGCCACAGCAGAGAGGCTGATTTATGCAGTTCCCAAACGATTGTGCAGCTCCTTTGAACCCACAGAGGGTAGTTTAAGGAAACAACTAAACTTTTGGTGATGCACAGTAGAAATGACAATCCTGCTCCAACTTCATGGGAGCAAACTCAGCCAGCCAGCACATATCTGACTGTAAATTAATTAAGTGCAGTCAATATTGCTCACTGATGAGCCACTGTGGCCAAAGGTCCACCTGACTTCAGTCTACAGAGGTAACAACACCCACAGTTCCTCAGCTGTTTCATTTTCATGCTTAATAACCACCTCTCTGAAAAAAGACTCCACAGTCTGGAATACTCACAGAGTGTATTACGAAATAAGTAAACGCTTCATGTCACTACCCTGGCTGAAGTTTTTGATTACAGTTTCAAGGGGGGTTTTTTTGGCTTCTACCCATGGTAACAAGCATCTTCTGCCATCTTCTGGACTGAACATTTCAGTGTTCTTTTTTGTTTGTTTTTTAAATCCTCAAAGCACTTTAAGTAGGGATATTTTAAGCACCAATTTAATAGGATATGACCCTAAACATCACTTATCTTGATATATATTCATTGGGAGCAGCTTTCAACATTGCAAGCCTTTGGAATTTCTGATAAAATGTTTATTTGTGATTACCTTTAGTTTACTTAGTAAACATTTTTAATTAAAGTCAATGTATGAAGCCTATTAAGCTAACAGTTAAAAGCATTTTAAATGAAAAGTGCATGTACAGCAAAGGTAAACTACTACATGACTTCGACAGTTCAATTATTTCAGTCAATTAGTCAATTTTATCTGCATTTCTCCATCACAGCTTCTTTCTTTAAAGAGAAATATGGGATGGAGTCATCAATACAGAGGGCATTTAGAACTCACAAGTCTGCCATTTAAGTAAATGAAAAAGCACAAATAAACATGACCATATGTGATTCAGCAGTACTTTCATGCTAATTGGCTTTAACCCATATGGAGTCAAGAGGGATTAAACAAGTCATGTGCACAAGGTTACCTGCTTGTTTTCACACATTCATGTTGACTGCACTTCCTTTTTAGCCTGATTTCATATGAAAACAAGGTTTACATGAACACAGTCATCTTTCCTCACCATCTTGCCTCCAACACATCTCTTGAGTTCATCAGCTGAACTTCAACTTCGACAGAGAACAGGAAATTCAAAAATACCAAGTACTGTGAAAATTTTCAATGGGCCAGAGAGGAGAAATTCCTTTAGCAACCTGAATACAGGCAGAGCCAGGAGAGCAGTGCTCAGTGTGCCAGCTCACCTGAAGGCAGCCAGGAAAAAGGAGGGAACAGCTGCTCACACCAGCACAGCACAGGCATTCCTTATTCCCCAACTGCCCACACTAGGGGAGGCATGAAATGGAGAGAACTGGGGGCATTTGGGGAAGGAAGACCCAGCAGAGAGCTCAAGGTACTGTAGGTATGAGGGCAAGGAGACCAGGAGAATGTGGAAGTCATCAATGTGGAACAGGTTTGACAGTGAAGAACATCCAGACAATATAAACAGCTGGGGAGAGTCATGTAGGTCAGTGAAAGAAACAAAGACTGCTGATGTGGAGAAGAGCTGACTTCCAAAGAAAGAAACTAAACTGAAAACATAAAAAATTAAAAATTCTCAGCAGTACTTAAACTGAGCCAACCAGTTATTATCTGGCAACTACACTAATAAGGTAATCAAAACAAACTTCTACCATCATAGCTATTCAAATAAAAATTATCACTAGAAGTCTTTAGGTTTCAACCCTGGACAAAGCTCGGAATTCTGTACAAGTCTACAGCAGCATTCAAAGTCTCTACATGATCTACTGTACCTGCTAAACTAACTAAACCAGATTGCATCATCTTCAAAGACAGTAAGGACTATTGTAGATGAATCATTTTGCCACTTAAAGGCCCCATTTTTAATTCATTATTAATTCTGCATAAGTGCCAGTGATTTAATGATTATTTTACCTGCTCATAGAGAGGTAAAATTCTAGAATAGTGAAGCTGAAAAGGTATGAAAAGCTTGAAGAAACAGACTGTCTACATGAGAAAGCGTATTGGCACAACTAATCTAGTGTAAATTTACCCTGATTGCTAAGTTTGTCCCATTCTCTAATCTTTCTCTGCAAGTTCCATAAAATCCTGATATTTTGAGTAATTCAGAGATTTAAGTTTCTGCCTTATCTAATTAGAGACAATATTTATAAACAGGAATCAATATTTACCATGCAAAGCCTGTTTGTTACAGTTTAATACATAATGAAAATGTTTCTGTATAGTATACAGTAAAAGCAAAATCTCAATGCTTTACATCTTCTGCAACTGTATTAACTTCCTGTTCTATGCAACTGCCTTTTATACCTATTAATACATCATTTTAAAAACACAATTTCTCTACTTCATCATTTCCCCTCATCAATGCCAGCAGAAGCTTGGGCAAATAAATTATTAAATTAAATAACATTAAATATTCTAAAGACATGTACACATGCATACGAGTACACAATTAAAAAAAATCTTAACCAAAATTATGAAAAAGTCTTGCTTTTGGCTACCAAGATTCTACTACAAAATACTCAACTGAGCTCTAGAAAAGACAGATTTCTTTGCATAAGGCCAACTCTTATTTTGACTTAGTTGAGCTAAAATGGCATAGACAGTGTCTTACCATCCAAAGTAGATTGCAGTGGTCCTATCCTCCCCATCCTCCTGACTCTCCAGATGTGTCTGGCTGATGGCACATACAGCTGTGTGACCTCACAAATTAACAGGATTTCACAGTTAAAAGGACTTGATTACACATTACAATTTACTACTGCATAGAAAATGCACAGAGTTGTCATATGCAATAATGAACATTTTCTTTTCTGCTGATCCCTCCTTATACTTGTGCCTTACAGGAGAGCTGCACAATTAACAACAATACAATATAAATCCCAAGTATTTTAAAATACCACACAATGTTACATTCAGTTCTGGTTTTTAGGACACTAGACAAGCTGACTTTGAATTTTGAGGCGTCAAATATTCTGTTTATTTTATACTGAGCATGTGTCATGATTCAAAGGAATCCAGTCCACAGCAGATATTAGCCTTTTCTTTTGCACACACATATACAATTTTAGAGATAATGTCTTTTTTTTTTTCAAAAGCTCTTAGAAAAAGTAATTTCAAGGTGAGGTAAGTACAGAAAATGCTGCTGAATTTTCTATCATTTTGGAAGAGAATCTTCCCCACTACGGTGCAATTCTTTCATTTAGCATTTTTACTATGAGAATATGCAACTAAACGCTACTAGATTTCCAATTCTCCTATTGGCTATAAATGCCAATAATTTACACTCTTGCACTGTAGGGCAAATTCTCCTTTATTGATTGGAAACATGCTTTAACATACAAGTTTCTTAACAGATGCAAGACTCTTATAATAGAGAAAAGCAACATTATTCCAGGTTTTAAACCATACAATCTATGCAAAATCAACATCACTAATACTGTCAGGAATCAAACTCTTTACCGTTGAAAATTTGGCACCTTTAAGAATTTGTTGAAAAGGATATGACTCTTACCTTGTCTGCTTTAATATTTTCTTGTTCTGAGAGCCAGTGATTTGGTGGACAGAAATTTCTCCTTGTATCCCTAGATTTCAACATTTTCACTAAGTTTGTGATAACCTAGGTGTCAGAAACACAGACATTCAATATACATTTAGCACTGTGAATGTAATTACATAATTAAATGTACAACGCAAAAGCTTTTTTAAAAAAAATCAGTAATGTATAAAATAGCCACTTATTTTTAACTCACAAAACCTTGCTGTTAGACTTAAATACCTTAGAATGAAATTAAGTAATCATGGTTCACCTGCAAGACATCAAAAAACCTGGCTTATACAAGTCTCATTCCAAAATCAAGGAACCAGGATTACATAGGATTTAGCAGTACTGCACACCTAAAGTGCTGCATGTCAGTTCAGGGAAACCCAAACAAGTCATTATCAATACTAAACTACTCGTTTAAAGAAAATAACACCTAACCAAGTCTACATACAATGTATATCATGTATGTATATAATGTTTTCTCTTCCTAGCAAAATTGAGAGGCTGAGAAAAATTGTTATCATGGTCACTAGGGTATCTTTGCAATTTTAGTGTTTTTCCTGGCAGTTTCCTCCAATCCAGAAAAGAAAACAGAAGTAGAGAAACCAAGCTAAAAAAGTTCTCCACCTCAAGCAGAACTGCCACACTCGGTTGCATGTCTTCTGTCCAAAGCTGTATCAAGTTCACCTACCACTACATAAAACAGAATTAAGTGGAATCAATAGAACAGTAAATTACTAGGCTAAGAAGACATTATCACTGTTACAATGAACAGCCATCTGTTTGGCAACTTTAAGGTACAGCACTTGAAAAATGAATAACAAAAAAAAGGTACACTGAGCTTTTCTGAAATAATCTTGCTAAAAGACAGTCTTAATAGACAGGTGTCAAGAGTAACAAAGTTTAATGAGCCTTCTAAAGGATTCTGTGTCTAGATGCCACACAAAAGAGCTTTTAACATCCAGTTTTTAAGGTAATGTCTTTATTCAAGACAGAACAAAGAATGCTATTAAGAGGACTGTCTGATTACATGGGAATTTTCATCACCTTTCCCTTATAAAATTCAGTGCAGGTTACATGAGTCACTGAAGCTCTCTGGTCTCATTACTACTGTAAGTGAGGCAAATGCTTTTAAAAAGGAAAATAAAATCAGAAAATACGATCCACACGAAGACCATGTAAATACAATATTTTATAAGCAACTAAAGAAACCTTAAAGGAAGCTGAATCAGATTAGGTGAAATGGGAGTTTCTCCTGCAGAATGCATGTATACTGAGAGCACTAACTCAGCTGCCAGCCCAACTCAACTTTGTAACAACTTTTGTACGTATGTATTCTATTGAAAGGGAAGATAAACTACAATAAAAAAATATTAAAATGGGATTTCTTCCCAATAAAGTATCCAGTGCAAGCAGCATTTAAAACTAAAATTCAACAAAATTAGAAACTTGATTTCACAGGATTAACTTAGGATAGTGAAATAATTATTTTGTTTAACAAAATCCATTTTCATGTACTCATAACTTAAGATTTTCTATGAAATCTCAAAAAGTTGACTACACTACTCATCATTCTGCCAAGCCAAAAATGGGGGATTCTGTTGAATGAAGACATTTACACATGTAAACCTTACCAAAGACCTCCAATCTGTTAGCAAATATGCACATCATTGTCAGCAGCCTCACTATTTCCAGATGTACTATTACCTGGCAGAAGTAAAGCCTGTATGTGCATGTATATATGTGTGTGGATATTTTTATATATATACATATTTCATTCACTTTATATATACACATATGGATTTCACTAGACACCAGAGACATGAAAAATAAGAAAAAGGAAATATATAAATTAAAAGCACAGATGATAAAGAAGGAATGTGCCTTTTTTTCAGCCAGCAGCTTGTAAAAGCTTCAGCAAAGATATATCTATCAGTTATATGGGATTTATCTGATATAGTGCAAAAGAAAGAAAAATAATTTTCTACTTGAATTTATAATTAACTACTTTAGCTTTGTTTTAATGATTTGGAAGAAGGTACTGCTGCCTGCTTACTGGCACCAAGCAATTTGGAAGGTGCCCTCAGGAAAGACTCAGTGCTATGCGCAGGAGACTTCTCGATGACATTAACTTCAGCCACGTTCCTTTTTTATCAGTAACAACAAACATGCATCTGAGGAAGTAAACAAGGGAAGCTCTACTATTATCTTCTTTTTTGAGTAGAACTGGAGCCTTCCATATACCCTCAAGACTTTTATTTTCAATTCAACTGATGGAAGACAACTCTGGCTCCTGAACATAATAAGAGCACACTCAGTTTTGACAGTTCCACTACAAGTTTAATTTCTGACTGTCAAAGTGGGACAAAGTATCTCAGGATTTTACAGCTTTCTGAATGACAGCAAAATATGACCAAATTCACCTGAAATCCACCAATTTACAGAAAGATTGATAAAGCATAATAAACCAAAGCAAACAAAAAGGAGGCATGATATGAACTGCATGCATAAAACTCTCCCTGGTCTGACATATTTCTCAAAAAAAAAAAAAAAAGACATATTGGGGGTTTCATCAGTGACCTTTAAATCAAAAGTTTATTTGGCAATTTAAAGACATGTAATTAAATTACATTGTGCAAACATATATTAGATCAATCTGTGCAAATTACAAATTCAGTGGTGCATTAGGACTGTATTCAATGCGATCAAAACATTATCACTTACTCTCACTGCTATTAATGCTTATGGTCATAAGTGAAATGTGTTGTAAAATCAGGCAGAATAGGCTGGATAGAGGCTACCTTAGACTTGTAGAATGAATAAGCATTCCTTAATTAGCCCATCAGGTTAAGTGCAAGCCTTAATGGGCCTTTCCTAAAGTCTAGCATGACATCTTTCTCTAAACATGGCCAAGAAGAAAGTTCCATTAGCAATATTAATACAAGCTTAGTTGATCATTTTCATTCAATTAACTTCTTTCAATTAAATAGATAGCTTGACAAAAGCAGTGATAAAAGACCTGAAGGGACAGCTGATGACTCGAACTGAACATTAGTGTGCGAGAGGTCGCCAGTATTAAACAGACTGTAAATCTAGCATTCAATTTGGAAAATGCATTTCTTCTGCTCCCACTTCTTTAATGAGCGATTTTAGCTGACTAGATGTGTTTGCTGCAGAATTTTCATGACAAGTCAAGCACTCTTTTTTTCAGCAACAGTTATATTACGGGTTTTTTTCTGCCAATGTTTTCAGCTTCTCTTAACTCATGTCTTAGCTAGGATGCCACAGATAAAATCAGCAGAAAAACACTGGTGGGTATCCAGAAAGAACATACACTAAATTCACATTTGCTAATCCAGATTCACCTTTCCTTTAGTATTCCAGCAAACCCAAAATGAGGAATACCAACATATTTTAGGAGAATACCAACAAAACTAATAGAGCATGGTACCAATATAGTGAAGTCTCCAATACAGAAGTACCCGAGTAATCACTAGATTTTGTTAGAATTTCACACCTATACAAAGTTATAACAACATGCTTACCTTGCTGAATGGGAGACTGAGCTGAACCCCATATTTTACACAGTAACTTTTTATAAACATAACAAGCAAGAAAACTAAAGAGTTGACAGAAGGAAAAGAAAATTGTTATCAGAATTTAGTTACTTGAAGTTTAGCATACGTGCCAAACAGCAATCTTCCTAAATTCACATTCCTTGTTGAAAAAGCAATAAAATTAGAGAAAAAAAATTCATATCTTCAGAAGAATCATGAAAATTTTATTCAGCTATGCCTGAAAATTGACACAATTTACCTTGAATAACTGAATCCATCTTTTCTGTTCTGTCTGTATACATTGCTGCATTTCCGTGTTTTTTGTTACTCCAACACTTCTAAAAGCTGCAATATATTCCTCACGAACCTCTGGCTTTGTTTCTGGGTAAGCCAACTTTATGATTCCTAGACATGCATCTCGAAGGCAGCGAGAGAGTATTACAAGCTCTTCTAGTGTAAAAGGCATCATTGATGATTGTCTTTGACCTACAACTACATGAAACACAAGTTTAAGTTTCCTTAAATGACTTTTTAAAACTCCACTTATTTAATTAAACTTTAATATTCACACACATAATCTAAAGGTAGAGAAAAGAAACATCACCCAAAAAGAGAATGAGTAAACATTTAGAAAGGAGATCAAATCTTGGGATTGTGTGGTCACAATTATTTTCATTACAATATCCCCTTGATCTCTTTTCTGATTCCTGCTATGTTAAATTTATACATTAAACTACAGGTTCAGTCCAGAAGAAGTTTGCTCTCTTCACTAACTCATTAAAAATTATCATGATTAAGAACTTCCATATCAGACCGTGTGTAAAGCTAGGGTTCCCAAGGTGCAGACCATTAATTTTTCTCTCTTTTTTCTAAGTGCAATCACCATAAAAGAGCCAGCTGACAGCTGGTGCTCAGGGGACCATCAGTAAGCCAGCCCAGAAGCTCCTTCCTCCCACATGTCAGCAAATCATTGCCCAGCCTCACACAAAAACATTTTACACAGCACTGCTATTTAGTATGTTCGAAACTCACCTTCTATTGGGTCACCAAAGAATTCATTATCATGGATAGAAATAAGTGAGTGACTAAACAAAGAACTGAAAAGGTAGAAGAGAGGGATAATTCGACTAGAGTCCTCTAAAGACATTGGAGAGCCTCTTGAAATCACTTGAAGGAGTGGCACCATAGACCTTAAAATACAAAATGCAGCATAAAAGAGAGGGTTAATAAAATACTCTATAAAGTATTATCTTCAACATTCTAGTAAAAAAATCTGGTAGTAGCTCCAACAGCAATATAACAATGGTGTTCTCAGTTAAATAACTATTATTTCCAATTTTTGGAAAATAAGGTTACTCTTCACAAGTTCTTGTGACTGGTACCTCAGTGTCTCCATGACAAATAAACCTGGTCATTAACTAATACAGACTGCAGATACTCTGGAGACATGAAGCAGAGAATAATTCTCTGCATGTCAGCACTGAACACATCTGTAGGTCCAGTGCCTCAGCTCCCAGGAAAGTGGTTTTGCCACCACCTGTTTCTGGACGAGTCAGAGCATGTGAGATAAAACTCACACGCCTGGGATAATGAACTGGAGCTTCAGTGTTTGTTACACTGATGCTGGTAAGCACTCCAAGAACTACAAAATGTTCAACCCATTTTAGGTAAGTATTTTCTTATTCTGTCTGTTTCCAAGATTTTACTCAGTTTTATGAAATCAAAGGGAATAAGTAACCATACTTCTAACTGTCCCATTCCCTTTTCACTAGATATGCTCTATTTTAACAAAGAACCAGCTCCAGAAATGGCAGAATACATACCCTGTAATCATTCGTGTAGTCATTGAAGATATCAAATACCAAAGATGCCTCAGGAATCTGGCATTAAAGGCTAAACTATAAAGAAGCCTGCAAGAAGAAGTTCAAATTAATTGCATCTTCCAAAATACTGTATTCACAAAACACAATGTTTCTTTAAGAACTTTTCTGTCAAGCACTTCTCAGAAATTAACGATTTAAATTTACATTTTCAGGATGAAGGGTCTTATTTGGATCAAATCTGGTGAAAGCCCCAAAAGCTGAAAATCAACCATATAAAACCTTATACTAAAAGTAACAGTTTTTATTAAATCAGCAACGAACTATACAATATAAACATTTCCAGTCTTTCACAGAATTCAACATATATTAATAAAAATAACGTAACACTGAATTAATGATCTGGGACTTTAAAAATTCTAATATAGAAAATTACACCAAACTAGTTAACAGGTCACTTCTGTGGTTCTTCTGACAGTAATAAATGCAGCAATTTTTGCAAAAGGTAGATTAAAATATCTTCGTTTATGTCAGAACTATGGCAATTTTACTGGTATACTCAGCGTGGCAGAGAGAAATAGAACATCAATGAAACAATGGCAGGAAAGCTACACATACACTAACATTCTGTAAAGTGAAATTTATTGTTTGTTTGAATAAATTTTATTAATTAATAAATGTACAATTTCACAAATCAGTTATACACAGAGCTGACTTCAACCACATGATTTCAGACAGTATGATCAACTTTTCATAGAAATGAGAAATAAAAAGCTTCCTGAAACTAGAAAGTCACCCCTAGTGTGACTTTTCCTGTTCCCCCTGCAGGAAACAACATACCGGACAAAATAATTTGAAACAATGTCTTCTAGAAACCAAACCAGATTTCACTGACTAAACAGCCATTTTTCAGGTATCAAAGTACAGTATTCAGTTAATTTTTCTAGATGCTACTTTCCTAGGTCTCCTCATTCCTATTAGAAAGTAAGTAAAACAAATACTGAGATCTACATCTTCCACTGGTCAATAGTTTTGCAAAATCAAAATTCTCTGTGACCAGGCATACAAGAGATAGGAGAATGGGAAATGGGAGCAGAGAGGGGAAACTACCTGCTGCCAGAAAACAAAGTATTTATTATGGACCACATGGAAATTAAAATTTGCTAGATGGCAAAAGGAAAAGAAGTATATATTTAATTAAGGATAAAAAAAAAAATCAATAAAGATTGATATTTTTTATTTAAAACACTGGAGAATGGTTTAAATCCCACACAAGAACACCTACACACCCTCTCACAGACCAGTGCCCCTGGGTCCTGGCTGCTCCTCCTGCTCCTTCTCACCAGCACAGCCTCAATCCTGAGCCCACAGCTGGTCCCTTCCTCGGGCTCCCAGCTCACCTGCATCCCCCAGATGCAGCTGCACAGACAAGGATCTGTGCCAGGATAAAGCAGCATGAGGAGGGCACAACTCCTCACCAAGCACAAAGAATCATTTCACAGGTACAGGGAGTTTTGGAAATAGAGTAGGGCTATGCAGAAAAATGGAAAGTGAAAAAAGGAACCTTGAGTTTGCAGTGTGCCTCTTTGAATTTTAAATGCATAGATCAGTACCTTTAAAAAAAGTTGGGAGCTTCACTTATTTCACAGAAATTGCACAATGGGGACATGACCAAGTCCAAGTCAAATTTGAAGCAACTGAGTTAATGCCAGTTTAAGGTAAGTTTTGCTGTTATATTAAGTTCTACTTTAACTATGTGGTTTTTTAAAAAAAATTCAACCTGAATTTGATACATGAGAATTCTATTTCCTTCTAAAGTCACATTATTTTGACATTTGGCAAAAATTATGCATTAATATGTAAGGACAGCCTTATCATACCTAGCTGATTTAGAATAAGGATTTGTGTTTTAATGTTTAAGTATCTGAATGATAGCTCAGATGTCTTGGTTTCCGAAATGAGAAATTTCCTCGGTGACCTTCAGTTTTAATGCTCATATTTAAAAAGAAAAGTAATTTGGCACCTTGCCTTCAGGTCTCACACAGCTTCCAAGCAAAAACTTGTTAATTTCACAATCACCCCTGGAAATTATGTAACAGTCTGAGCAGAAATGAACAAACATTATGGACGATGAACCTATCATAATGTAATTCATTTTTTCATTCTAGCAATATTCAGCAGTAATGAAGGGGAAAAAAGGACAAGCCTTAAGAGCTTATAATAATAACCTTTGCCTAAGTTTTAGCAATTTTTATTCCATATCCGTGATTCAGGCAGTCAATTGTAGCAACTGCTCTGTTTCATGGCTCAGTTCCAGAAATGCTGAATGCATTCAACTTTCACATTTCCCTTTCCTGAAAATCCGTTTAAGTACAAAAATGCACATTTGGTAGAAGATGGTACCAACAGCCTGTTTGATTAAGACGAAATAACTGTAAAAATGAAGAAAATTAATTCATCAGTTCTAAAGCTTCCATTTTAAAGTTTCCATACTGTGACCAGAAAGCAAACACAGAACTGCAAACTGAACACAGAATGGTGAATTGGGCCATGTGTTACAAGATATTTGCATTGCTAGATTCACTTGAAATTTAATCCACTGCAAAAGTAAAAATGGCAGAAAAACCAGCTACTTTTCCACTCCAAGTACAGAAATTGGCTTTCAAAAAAACAAAAAAGTACAAAAAAGAAACCCACCACAAAATATAAGGATGGCCTTGAAAACTTGCATCTACACAAAATTGGCTGTAATAAAGTTTTAAAACTTTTGGTTTCACATTGACCAAAAAAAAAAAAAAGGACTGTGAAAAAGCAAAAAAAAAATTAAGTAAAAAATTAAAATTCTGAAAATTAAAGTAAGTCAAAATCTACATTTTTTGGTCTGTTTCCTTGGCAGAGAAAAGATTTTCATATGCTTAAAAACAGCCTTTCTGGGTAGAGATACATTAAAATGACACTGTGCAAGAATTTCTGATAAACTGTGGAAGAGCACAGGGATGGCTTGTATATCCTGAGGAAAAAGCCTTATGAATCCACGAAGTTTAGAGATCAGCTAATAAAAAGCTTTAGTGTCCATACAGCCTTGACCACTTTTTCTTTTAAAGAAAAAAAAAATCCACGCACACAAAAAAAACAAGAAATGAAAAAGATTAGAGAGATTTTGATTTTTTATATAAACTTGTAAAATCTAACTTAGGGGCTTCATTTTCAGTATTTGCACAATTCTAAAAACAACCTAAGCAGCTAGTTTAAACTCCTCATATCTGGAGGTTTTGCATTTTCTTGAAAATCTCACTGAATGCCACCAACTTCTTTATTATGAGATTATACATGTTTTATGTAATGCATTCATTAATAGATTTTCTGTAAAGTCCAATATTAAGATTTAGCAGAGTCATTTGGATGAAAGAAACATTTCTCTGCTACCAGAAAGGATAAACTTCTTTCAAGTGGAAAAACACACACTGCCTCAACCTCAGGCTATGATAGAGTTAAATTCACTTTGCTGATTCCTGTTAAGTATCAATTTTAATCATACCAAATTAAATTATCTGTTCCCAAAAGTAAGTACATAACGATCATTTATTTAGAACCTTGTTTCTCTCTCTAGGTATCTAATTGTCCACAAAGGCCACATGATTTATGTCTACTTGCCAGAATAGCATTTTGGGCACCTCTGGTTCAAAAAAAGTGTCAAATTCCTCCTGTGCAATGGGACAGATTAAATGACCCATTAAGCTTAATTTAGCTGAGGCACCACTACAAGTTAATTAGTTAAAGGCAGGATTTTCAGTCTAGGTCATAAATTGGGCCCAGTTTCCCACTGAGACCATTTAAGTTAATGAAGAGAATCCAGCAGAATGAGAGGAGCTCATACAGCCTGCGACAGGTCACTGCTGCCAGGGCAGCGGATTCTGTCACTGCAGAACCGTGAGGTGTCACAGGTACGAGACATTGGTAATTGAATTGTCCTGCTCCTTTGGCTGCTTTCTGCTTCTACCTCTGTTTGTACTGCACCAAGAACATAAAGCAAAGCTTAAAATAGAAGGTTCAAACTGCATATACAATGATTTTGGCTTTAAGAAAAACACAGCAATATCAGAACACTGCCTAAAGAATGACCCCAACAGCCTCAGGTAAAGCCTGGGTATCTCAGCACACATATGAAGAGACGCTGCTCAGATCACACAGAGTGTAATCTAACAAACAATTCTGAACCACAGGCTAAGATGAGCAATGTTACAGTAATTAGCAGTAGTGATGAACAGTGACTGTGGAGCTGTTACAATGCAAGGCGAGTGAACTCGGGGGCACCGATAACAGTGACTGACACCCCAGTACCAGCACAGCTTCCACCACTGTTCAATACTCAGCTGTAATGAAGATAAAGCCTTAGGTATTAAATGACACCCTGAAATGTTTTATAGAAACAGAACTTAGAAAATAGAAACTATTTATTTAAAGTATAGTTTTGATGAAAAACGTCTTGCAAGTCTCTCTTTGAGAGCTACAGTCCAAGACACAAGTTTTCTCTTTTTTTTAATAACTGTATTCAATAATATGTATCAACTTCATAGTAAAAAGATTAAAGCCCCATCCTTTTTTAAAACAAGCAGAACTCCCAATGGTTCCTTTACAACCAGGATTTTATTTTACACCTCTAATCCAGGTTACTGAACATAGGCTACAGTCAGGTTTTTCTTGTATTGTGACCTTCTTTAATTTGGCTTGATAGCATATTTCCAGAATTATTCAAAGTTCACCAAAATTCATAATAACTAACTCCAAGCTATGTGTTTTTTCAGTTATCCACCTCTGGATCCCACCACACTGTCTAGAGCATCAGAAAATAACTTTACAGGCTTGCTCCTTTTCAAAACATTATACTTGTGGGTATCTTGTTTCAGTCTTGGTCTCTGTTGCAAAACCAAGGAAAATACTGAGTTGATTCAGCAACACCAATATTCCTAACACCACACAATATCACCATCATAGGTCAAATTATAAAACTACTTAGAAGCCTCCAGAAAAAAAAAAGCATTCAGTTTTAACAGAGTGACACAAGTCTAAATTCTGAAATTCTCATCTTTGTCCCAGAAGGGAAAAAAACCTCAGAACTATTAAAACAATACTGAGGTATTTCTCATTTTCTCTCTTCTGAAGCTTGTCCAATTATCTTGTTATTGAAAGATTATTTTCAATTATTACTCTATTTATCATCCCACTTTTCAGACTTGCAGCCTCTATGTTATCATTATTTTGTATTACAGACATATATGATGTCAAATAAACTGTCTTTTTAACAACTCCTTCTATTTTAAACCATTTGACTCATACTGAGTCCAAACACAAAATTAAAGAGCACTATTAATCTCTTAGAATATATTAAAAATAATTTTAGATAAATTATTTTTGCTTAACTATTTCTACATGGTTTTATTAAGTAGATATACTTCACTCTGGATATTAAGTAATTTAGAAGTTTCAAAGCAAGTGTAGAAGTTTTCAAAAGACTATCATTAAATTTGGTAAAATTATTTGGGCTTTGAAAAAAAACACCAGACAAATAAAAACAGTGCAACTTAATGACAAAAAGTCTTTTAATTATCCTTTTTAATTACACAAATAAGCATAATCTGTCCTTCAAAAAACACTCAAAAATTATGTCTAAAATAGCTGCTAGGTAACCTAGGCCAGTCTAAAATGCACAGAGAATAGGATAAAAGATTGACACCTGCTGAAATGATGATCCTTGGCAAACCCAGCACTTACAGCTGACTTCTAAGTCAGAACTAGCAATTGTCTGCTTTAATTTACCAAACATCTGTGCAAAATAAGTTCATTTTGACCATGAAAGTAATTGCACTGGTATCATTGACAGAAATCTTAGTATCTACTACTTATTTCTAAAATTCAGCTATTCAAATGTTACAATTTGTGAATTATTTTCTACTAGAAGATGCTGAGTAGAACTTTCATAACTCCTGAATGTATCCAATGTGTAAAGAGCTTGTTATCACAAATAATTGCAAAGACCCAATAGAGCTCCTCAGAGGAAATAGATGCCATACTCATACAATTAAAGTTCAGTGACTTCTTTATTCATTAAACACCCTTTTCCACACAGCTCACCAGCAAGCCTCCAGTCAAAGCAGCGATGCATTTAAGCTCAGTAATTACTATCCAAGGCAATGTACTACTTGCAACAATAAAGCTGGCACACTAATTCAACTGCTGCTATGATCTTCAGGTCTCACATCCTGCTCTAATGCAATTAGTCTACAAAGAACTAATTACCCTAATCGAGCAATCACAGTTTCACTGACATCTTACTTCCTCTAGCAGCTATAAACACCATTGGGCTAAGATAGCACCTAATTAGTTTTCTGTATCACTGTTTACAATGCAGTTTGAATTATGTTTACAACATTCCCTAAATACTTACTTTACTACCAGCAACTACATAGGTACTCAAAACTACTTGCACCAGAACAGTGTTAATACTTATGGGTCTCAGTCTGATAATAAAAAGGTAAAAAAATCTTCTCTCATTGTTCTGCCATTTGTGGTTTACAATCTTTGTAAAAGAATACTGCACAAATGAACATCTCCTTTATTTCTTCTCAGGTGCCAAACTCTCCCCAAACAATAGCAGTTTTCAATAGTTAGGAATTATTTTAATTTGTAGCAAGAGATTTTGGCATACACTTTAGGGTGGGAGCAAGTTGGTTTCAGTGCTCAGCTAGCCAGAGAGACTAGGGAATTCACAGCACTGGATGTTTTAAAAACAAGGTAGTCCAATTTCTACTAGATTGACACGTAACACTGCCTCTGAGCAAGAACAGATAAAATGCTTACAAGAATCATGAGAGGGCACAGTGAACAGCAAGAAAAATTAGAAACGAAGAATCCACTCTTTGGCTTGCCTGGAATTACTGTTTTAATTCTGAAATTCTAATTTATTTCAGCTAGTTGTAAAAGAAAACACAGAAAAAACTCAACAAGGAATTTAAAACAAGTCTAAAACAACTCATTTTAGATGTACTACAGTCAAGATGACTATTATTTCTACTTGCCTGACTTTTGGCACCATCATTCGGTGTTGTACCATTAGTGTGTGGCAGATTGATGCCATCAGGGTGAAGACCTCTTCACTGGCTGAATCTCTCCAAACCATGTTCAGTAGAGTGTTTGTCTGCTGCTTTGTGTCCAGTTTCTTGAGGCACTCCTCAGTTATGTACTGGACTGAAATTCTCCCATCAGCCTACAAACGCATCAAAGGAAAGTTTATTTTTAGTCCTTTTTAATGAGATCCCATTTTCTACTAAAAAATACCTCCAAATTTAACTTAGAATGAAGTTTTCTTGTACAATACATAAAACAGAAGCACATAGGTATATCCAAGTCTTAAAAATATCAGACCCAAGAGCCAACTTAAAGCCCCAGGCAGGTAAATGTTGTGCTTTGGTATCCATCCTTCACTGAGGCCAGTGGAAATACTGCCTTTACTGTAAGTATGATCTGCAACACTTGCATACAATTAGGGAAAATCATTTACTGTCATGAAACACATGAATGATCATCTCTTCTTCACTGACATCAATCAGCATTGGACATGAAACCCAGAAATGGATGTTGATTCTAAAGTCCTTTACAAGGAGTATTTTCACATTCACAATTCTTGGATTAACAAATGACAACAAAGTTCAGGGTGGTCACCATATGTCTGGGTAGTGTGTGAAGAGGAATGCTTTCTCTTGGCATATAACTGAGTCCACCTCAACCTTTTCTTTTCCTAATTTCCTATCTTTATCTTGCCCCCAACTGATCAAAGCTGTCAGGCTCATTGAAGGACACAAGTTAACCAGTAATAAATTTTTAAGAAAGAGGGGTTCCTCACCCACTATATTTTTTTTTTTTTTTGGTAAGACAAATGTGCATGAAAATATAGAATAGGTACAAAAAAATCATAGGAGAAACACACAAAAAACTATATTGCAATAAACAGTATTATCTATATAAAGCGGCCTCCTCTGAGCAATTTTTTTTTTCTAATTTATGAATTAGTGTAAGTTACCTGAGAATAGAAATTAGTGCTTTGTTTAGACCAAATCATCTCTTAAGCATCACCTATCTCTATGCCACAAGTAGAATCTGCCAATATTTACATTGAACACAGTGTTTGTGCCTGGCAAATTAAGTATTTTATTCACACCATGCTGGTAAAGGTTTTGGTGCAACAGTAACATGCAACATCTAAAAACACTCAAGTTAAATGCTGCAAGTACTCCCTAGCAACATGGCTCTCCCTAAGTTTTTTTTTAATGAATTTTAAATATGGTGAATTTTCTCACATTCTAGAATGAAAGCACGCACACTAAGTCCTTTGAATGGCTGTATCTTCTGAAAGATTACATAAAGGACAGTAAGAAACTGTTAAATTTACATCTGTCCAACTTTGGTTAGTCAAAGCCTTGATATGAGTAGTAGGAGACTAAAGTTAGTTAGATTTATTCTGTTTATAAGGTTAAATTATAGTGAAGTTCTTTATAACAGTGTCTCTATGTATTATTAGAGAAAGCAGGTGTTTCCCTTTGAGGGCTTTTGAGATAGTGGGTATATACAGACCTATTCTACAGGACAAACACTTGTTTAACTTGTAGTTACTTCCATGAGAAAAAAAAATACTAAGTTCAGTGTATTTCATTATATCTCAGCATCATCGTGAACCTACAGAATACAGAGAGTAAGAAAATCTCTGCAAAATACAAATATAAAAAGGCAATTTTAAGCCTTCTTTAAAATAAAAGCTTTGTACTTTCAGAGACACACTATCTGTAGTTTATGATCCATTATTCTAGTAAGGAGTTTGTTTTAATGTAAACAATAAGTTCCATTTGCTTGCAGTGAACAAGCATCAATTTTTAAGAAGCAGACTCCCTTATAGAAAAATACTGGACTTGGAGTGATCGTGTTTTTGCCCATTTTTGCTGCTGCTGCTGTACAAACTCACAGGAATTCTGCACTGCTTACCGGTGTAGTTGTCATTTTACTGATTTCTTCATCCTCATCTTCAGAATCACTGTTTGCATCTTGACAATTTGTACCAGCAGCAGACACAGGCAGCTGAGAGAGAAAAGTTTGGAGTACCCTCAAATACACAAGAAGTCCTTCCTCCGAAAGGGATCCTAGAGCACATACATTGAAAAAAAGTTCATCAGTGAGATCACACAGTGCTATGAAAAATATTTTACCAGAAATACCTGACCAAAACAAATTATGCCAAATCTTACCAAATTAATGCAATTTTATAATGAAAAGGGTAAGAATAAGTAACAGATCTCTCCAACACTTTTATCCACAAACTGTCCTTTTTACTTGGCAATGAACCATGTTGAAGAAATACGTAATATATTAATTCCAACATGGAAAAAGCTATGAATTGTCCACTCAGCTTGCTTACCCAAATATGTTTCTCCAACTGTTAACACAAAGTAGAAAAGCCATGGGGCTTGATCGCTTCTTCTTGAACACCCACTTTCTGCTAATAATAGTGCATTCAGAAAGAGTTCATAAGGGAAAATAGTCTGCACATCAGCAAGCGCTGGAATGATGAAATGGAATATTTGATCTGTAAAAGGTGCTGCCAGAAACTCCTCTGTGAAGGCTGCAAAAATCTGCTGCCTGAAAGGAAGAAAAATTGTTGCTATAGAAAATATAGGCAAAATTTCCCACAATTATACCAATGGAATAATAGATCATTTTGCAAGCACGAACACATCCATCAAGAGGACTCCAAAGATGTGCTCCATTAATTCTGTCCTAGTACATAAAATTTCTCAGATTTCTCAAAAATTAACTTCTTACACTAAATCCTCTTCCTGAAGATGTTACATGCAATTCTATCCTTAAAACTTTCTATGAACTCGAAGAACTATTCTGAAGTTAAATACATTTTTTTAAAAAATCAAAGGAAAAAAATGTATCTCAAAAACCCGTTTTACACAAAATCCTATTGCAACAAAAAACAGTACTGCACATGATACAACCTGAATTTATGTTCCCTCTGTTTACATACCTCTTTCTGCTTAAGCTGCCTTAGTAATTTCTCTCCATAAACCTCAGCCCATCTGTCACAAAGTTCTTTTGAACTCTAAAATTCTTTTCATCTACCCTTAGCTGCATCTCTGCTCTCATCTAAATTTTCCACACCCTCATTCCTGTGTACTGTGATACCTGCTATTCTCTGTGCTGTTTATTGCAGCATTCAGCATTTTATTGCCTTTTTCTTAAACACACCTGAAACTACATTGTTTCAGTGATGTACAGTGTTACCAAAAAATCATCACTGTACAAATAAATCAACAAACTGCACTGAAAAAACAGCTGGACACTAGACAACACAAACTGCACCTCTGACTAGAGCAAGTGAGTACACAAATGCTTAATATTATCTTTATTTACCTTGCACCTTCTGGGCAGGAGCTATATGTAAAGTGCAATGGCTTCAGAACATTCTCCAGAAGTATTTTTGCAATAGGGACACGAGAAACATCAGAATACTCAATACTCGAGGGAAGCTTATTGTTAATTAACAAATAAAGCGACTTGTAGTAGCCTGTAAGTAAAAAAATCATTTTTAAATACAGTATTATTTTTCTTCTTTTCCATATAAAACAATATAAAATAAGTTAAAAAAAACCTTTAGAATTCATTACATGAAGCTTGACTCAAGAAGATATTTTACAATAGTCCAAGTCACATTCACATAATTAATGGGCTATACCAGCAATCTCTTTGGAAACATCACATTAAAAAAATCATTCATAGATAACCATATTCAGAGTTTGATTTTCAAAGATCAATCAAGTCTTGCTGATGAAGTGAATAATTCTATTTTTTAAAGTAATGATTTATGAAAAAGAAGTTCTCCTTGAAGTGACTCTAGTCATTTTGTCCTTCTACTCTTTCATAAATGAAGAATTTTCCACTCTACTCCCAAACATTACTGCATCATACAGGCAAGAGGCCTGCTGGCAGAATGTCCCAATTTGTGATCACCTTGCCTCAGCAGGCTGAAGAATACAATCACTATTTCCAGAACAGGGCTCCCTCAGACACTAATAAAATGCATTATTACCCATGCCATAAAGACATGGATAGAGAGTAATTTATTTTTGTCTCACTGAAGTACAAATGGAACCACGTGATTTCATTCTTCTTAAACCAACTTCCTTCATGCTCAATGAACTCCCAAACTAAGACACAAGTTCCACAATTACAGGAACACTGTAAATGCATAAACAGTGCCACATCATTGAGAGTCCAGTCTAAGAACCCTTCTCAGGGACCACCTAACTTGTCACAGTGCAAGTCCCCATAAAGGAATGGCCTAGCAATGCTGACCACATACACATGGAAGGCAAATTATATCCAAAAACAGACACTAATGAAAACTGGTAACAGATTCTTTACAAGTTAAGCATCAAAAATTATTAGGAGATAGAACATTTGCAGTTACACAAAATTGCTTTTTTTTGTTTTTGTTGTAAGTAATCAGAAAGCTACATTTTAGTGAAAAGGCTATGATTCTATAATCTTAAACTTTCACATATATATCAGTTGTGAGGAGAGAATAATATACTAAAAGAACAAATACATGTGTTTTGGAAGAGATATTCATTATATAAAAACCAATGAGACAAAGAGTTTTTATTATGTCAAGATAAGCAAAATAAATGCTACAGTAAGAGTAATTTCTTTTCTCATAGGGACTTCGACATACAGTCCCTAGTAACAGCATTAGGTAGTCAAGTCCACTGAATGTACTTTAAATATTATATAGAAATATTCCAATAACCAATGATTGGAAGATGATCTTTCTGCATTTTATACCAAAGAGGCTGTCCAAGAGATTTATTTCAAAATGTTTTTGTCTTTCCTCGTGATTCACTAGTTTTGCAAACTCAAGCCACCGTACCAAAAAGGCAAAATAATTTATTTTGGACATTCCTAGAATAATAAAGTTTCTTTGCAACTAAATATCATTTTGGTGCTAACTATCCAATTCATTAACTTTTGGTATGTTTGCACAGGTGTCATTGAGTGCAGTTTGACAAACAGTTTTGCTGATGATGGTAGGAGAGAAATAAAATCCAGGCCACCATCTCTGCTAAGGTGTCTGAGTGCTGGCAGGATGAAAAGGTAATGCCAACCTAGACTAATAATGAATATTAACATTTACATAGAACAGTACTGCAACACCATGACCAACTTTTACACAACTGAAGCTTAGATCTGCCACAGTGTGTGTGTCCATGTGAAAGTGTTAAACAGGTACTAGAATAAAACTTGTTAGGCAATATCCACTTACTCTCAAAATCTGTGCTACAGGTCTGTATAAACAATTTAGTAGAATATTCAATTTATAAACAGAATTTCCAAAGAAATCAAGCAGTAATTTCTCAAGCCATGACCTCATTACAAGAACAACATCCACCAAATATATATGTTACTGTATGCAGCACTTTATTCATCATTGTGTCTGTGGTAAAGACAAAAATTTGATTAAACAATATGGGCTTCAGGTGTTCAATTTTTTATTGTTTCCCAGAACTTCTAGTTCCTAACTACTTACCTTTTTGAACCATGTAGTGCAAAATTTGTTCAATTAATGATGTCACATAGCTGACATCTTGTAAAACAGGCAAATACGTATTCTCAGATGAAAATACCTCAAGCATTCTCATAGGAAGTGCAACATTCAGACTGTCATCATTGCAATTTTGCAGTAGCCTGTAAATGAAATTAAAATTATTCAACAAGATATTTCTCATACTTCACCACCCATTCACCTTAAGTTAACTTATTTCTATCTACTTGGATTCCAGGTGCTCTCAGCGGTTTAGCTACATCTTTTTGATGGCATCTTTAAAATAGTAACTCCCGATTTTAGGGTATCTACGAATATGGCATTCTCCCTTTAAATCCTACTAAATTCTTGCTCTGAGTCATTTGAAAATTTCGACTTCTACTGCCATAAACTGGAAGAGAAGCAAAGAATAATACAGGTTTTACCAACATGTACCACTAAGATACTACAAATGAAGCCATGAAAGTCTCAGAGCAACAGAGGCTGGGAACAAGTGCTAGGGAACATCATGTGCATAATTAACACAATACATCTTTGATTACAGACTGAAATAATAAAAATACAGCCATTCCCACCCTTTTAACAAGTTGCTTATGTAACAGCTACCAGTAACCATTGAAATTATGATGATTAAGAGCCTGTTTAGAATCAAAAGTATTTTTTAATTTGAGATATATGTGGGCTGATTTGTCCTAAAAATGTGCTTTCTTCCCCATCCATATTAACAGCTGCATTTACAAAAACACAATTTCCACTGTACTGAAAATGTACAATTCCATGCAGTAACACCACAGCTGTGTCCCACTCCACATGGACTTTAAAGCCCATCACTCAAGTCTTCTTTAGTATTTGGTGTCACTCTTTATCATACATACAGTTTACACACTTTCAAGAACACAAGCTTCAGTCATTTAAAATGAAACAATTTTCTAAAAAACAAGTATTTTAAAGCTCTGCAGAGTGTAATTAGTCCCTATTATGGATAAGAACAAATATATTGTGTTCGAATAACATATTAACAATAGCTGCCAGATATTCAAATCACCTCAACAGATTTAACTTATCTTTGAGATTTTTCCCACTACAAATAATAAATTTAATGCTGAAGCCAATAATGTAACTGCTTAATATGCCTTCTGTTCAAATAAAGGATGAGGAAAGGCATATTAAATTATATTAATTTTGAAAAAACATCTATCCAAAGCATATCCTTGGAACATTAGTGTACTTCAGAAAATAACATCTAAACACTACCAATTCCCAAGAAAATCTGTTTTCCACAAATATTGCCAATGTTACCACTACACAAAAACAGTTAAGAACATACTCAGGCCTATCCTAGGAGGGCAGCCCTTAAGCACATGTTGACATGGAAAGTCAACAGAGCTTAAAAACATTTGATTGTTCTACATAGAACAGGTATCCTATACCATGGCCGACATATATTTAATATTAACAGTCCTCCATATAAAATAAATGGATATTTACTACCTCACTTGCTGCAAAAAGAAACAGCAAGTGCCCAACATGATTTCTGAACACTTTTTACATAGTAGCACATAGGAAAAAAGAACTCACCTGCAACACAGCCCCAACAGTCTTTTTATTTGGAATAAGCAAGTAAGTCTGTCTGGACCATCCAATTGCTTAACAAACTGAGAACTCTGTTTAATTAAATTCTGACACATCCATACCTGCAACAAGATATGCACAAGTTTACAGTTTATCAGGACAAGTTCTAGCATTTATGGCAACTCAGTAATATTTCAGTGCTGTTGTGGATACCTTTGGAGGACCTAGAAAACACAAACTCAGACTGAATCATGTTCAGTTGAGAAAAAAAAATTGTTACTCACTATAAACTCACAACCACTAGTACTAAACTTTCAAAGTTAAGACTGAGTTACACCATCTGGTAATTTTATGTTTTTAAACAGCCATAATTCTTTAATATCCATTATTAACAGCCACTATGAATCACACTTACTCACACATTTGGGAAGCTGGCAGTGACTTTGCAATTGATATGTCAGCAATATTGAACAGTGAGAAAAAAAGTATCACCCAAACACCTTGAGAATGACCATGGGGCCAAGCAGAAATACTGTCTAAAAATTAAAATCCTAACAGAAGTATATTGTTTTTATAAACTTACAGTGAATAATACACATAGGATTTTTCAAGGCTTAATTTCACATACTATGTATGTGTGTGGGCACACGCCCTTGTGAAATCTAATTTTAAGCTATTGTGACTAAATGAAAAACAGCAGAGTACAGCGAAAAATACACTTGCAAGTGAAAGACTAGTTTAAAAGTGCATGAAATGCAAGGATCAAAGTATGTTACAGCACTCACCAAACGCTTTGAATCCTCATTCTGTCTATAGAAAAAGAGTAACTGGCGAACTAAAAGAGTCAAATTCGCTCCATTAGCAGTGGAAAAGGTTCCTCCAGACTGAGCCAAATTAGCACAGCGATCAAATTCACTTCTTTGGATAGAGTACTTAAAAACAAAACATGCATCAATGTATCAATAATGGTTATAAATTAAAACAGAGATGCAAAATTTCAGCTTCCCATCCAGTCAGGCTGCAAAGCAGTAAAATAGATAAAACACATTTATTAAGAGATCAAAATGTACACATGATATCATAGTTGAAGCCATAACTCCACTCTGCAACTTCAAAAGTACAGTTACAGCAAATCTGTTGCTTATCAAGCATTATCACTTCAAACATTTTAGTCTAGTTTACTCAAATTAATGAATTTAAACAAAACTCTTTCTTAAAAGAATCTACCTAACAGCAACTTAGAACAACTTTTTGACTCAAAATAACACTTTAGCCATACAGTAAAAAAAATTAAAAGTTCCACTGGTGTCTGAAAGTTCTTAATACCTAATGTTTTCTATCCAATTTATCAGCTAAAAAAACCACTGCAGGATCCCACTCAGGTCCAGTCACACCCATGCTTTGCAGAATACACATCTGTTTACTAAAATACTGAGTTTGAAATGAAAATGTCAAGAGGGAAAATAGAACTGCCACTTTCTCAAATACTCAAAATTATTTTTCAATTAAATTATTTATTACTAGAAAGTCTCATTTCCAGTAAAACTATTTAGCATCTTTCTAATTAAATAACCAGGTACTAACTTGATGTTTTCTGTCTCTGTACCCTCTTACAAATGACTGGATTATTATTGCATTTTTCAGCCTCCGTCTTTCTTCCTGTAAAAGAAACAAGAAAACTGAAATCAATACCATAGGACTGACCCTTAATTTCTATCATTTTATCAAATACATTTGTATTCAATATGGCCTTTTGAGGACAATTAAGCAGTATTATTAGTAAAATAAATTATTTTAATGTTTGTACCCAATACACATAAATCAGCAAGAATGCCTTTTATGTTTTTAAATGCAAATTTACCATTAAATATTGCAAAAGAATCTTTAATACTCAGAAAGTATATAATACTACAGAAATCAACATAAATATTTTATTACTTTGCATCACTTTATCGTTAATGCATTTTATTAGACAAAGTCTTAACACTATGTTGAAAAATGTTGAAGGATTCATCAAACTCAATGACATAATTCCTCTTTCTGCATAGAGTAGCAAACACTGACAACCCACTTATTTGTTTTCATTCAAATAATATATAAGCATTATGATGCTGGCACAGTTTAGATGTGGGAAAAACAATTTTAAAAATCAGTTATTTGGAGACAGTACCTCTGTCAAAAGGAAAATGAGGCTTAAAGCTCATTGTGGCCCAGGAGCAAAATATAGAAATTAATAAAAATTCTTAATCTCTTTTCCAAACCAGACATATCTACTGAATCTTATGACATCTTCCTCAGCAGGTGGAAAGAGTAGCAAAAATCACCCCTTTAAAATGTCTCTGAGGAACTGAAAGTCAGCTTGCTTGAGATGCTATGGAAAGAGCTCTGGGAGGGTTCCTTGACAATACCCTGGGCATATCCCATTACAATAAATATTGATGGGAAGTGGCTACTCTAATTGTATTTCTAACAATATCCATATGGTTTCTTAGGGAATAAAAGAGGGCAAATAAAGAGTTGCTCATGAACCTAGAGCTACAAAGCAGTGGTTGAAGGAAAATACAAGGATCAAGAAGCCTGCTTTAAAAAGAGAATTTTTAACCTAATCAATCCTTAAACTATATTGTACCAATAACTCTGAGTGTCACCAGGCAAAACAAAACACCAAAATGTTTTCATGAATTTCATAAAAATATTTTTGGAAAGTTCACATAAACTTTCAAGTCCCAAAATCTTGATTTCCAATGTGTTGTCATATAAAGACACATCCAACTTAAAAGCATGACCTGAACTGACCAGAGAGAACACCAGCCAAAATTGCTATTCAAGGCCTATTTTATTTTTCTTGGAAAATTCTGGTTCTTAAAGCAACTTATCTGAATAAGCAGATTCTTGAGGACTCTGCCTCTAAATCATGGACCAAAATCAGAATTTTCTTAGGCCAAAGGGTATTTCTCTCTCCAAAATATTGACAGTAAAAGTGCAATCAGGAGAGAGTTTCAGAGAGGCAGCATCTCTTTATAATCACAATGTAAGGCTCAACTAAAACACAGATAACTTTTCCTTCTCTCTAGGTACTGGTTTTATCTCAGAACACATAATTGTCAATTAGAAACTCCTAATTGCAAAGGTTTTAAGTCTGAGGTCACTGCTAAGATTCTGCTACAGGCAGTTTTAAAAAGCCACAGCTGATTTTATTCTCAGAGGAGTCATTCATTTTGTGAAAATGTGCTCCATGCCACAGCAAATCATTGTGTGCACGTGTACTTCCACTGGGATGAGTGCACGGCTCTGCATCAGCTTTGCAAAGGACAGAGCCAAGCAACTGAATGGGTTTATGGAACACGAAGAATTTTTAATATGTTGCTAATGACTCATTGATCATAAAGCTGATTCATAGCATGGAATTCTGAACTAAAGGGTGAAATTCTGGTACTTTCATACTTGAACTTAGTCCATACCTACACACCCATGTTGGAGAGAAAAAAAACCAGTAACTGTGCACAGAAACTGAGGAGCCACTACAGAACTTGTGCTTAACCCAGCATGGGACAAACACACCTTTAAGGGCCAAAAGAGATGTTTTCTTCATGAGCATGAAACCTGCATAGTTACATTTTTTTTAAATGGTATTGAACATCAAATTTTTATTCGACTTATATGGGAGGGGTGGGGGGAAATGATAAAGTTAACATATTGACTCAAATTCCATACTACTAAATTTAGAGTTCTTCATTTCAGTGCCTATTCCTTCTATGCATTATTCCAGACTGAATTTTCCAGAGCAGTAAACTTCCATCACAAACCAGTATTAAGGTTGCTTAAAGCCTCACACATCAGCTTCTCACTGCTCCTTAATTATCAGGTAAATTCAAATCAGCACTTTTCAAAGCATTCAAGAATCACTGCTCTGATTTTACCTTCACAGAACTGAGACACACACTGGGGAAGTGAAGTACTAAAGGTCAGCCAAGAAATCATAGCAGAACCAGGAGCAGAAGAAAGTTTGCTGAGACCAACCCATAGTTAATAGATTATGGACAAGGTAAAATTTGCAATTTACTAGAGAAATCCTTATCTTTTCTCAACAAAGACAAGATCCAATAAACACCAAAATGAAAGGGAAATTTCCCTTTGCACCCAGTGCATGCTTATCTTGAGATGAAAAGCACTTCTAAAGAACATTCTAAAGCACTCAAATTGTTTTGCCAATTAAAGCATACTTTAAGACTATACAGAACATGCAAACTGAAAGAAAACATTGCTGAACTAAATACACTGCAGGAGAAGTACTTTGCACTGTAAATGTAACACCAAAGAAAAATCCAGTGGGCAGACAAACGCTTACAGGCTACTTTACCTCTCGTTTTCTCCTTTCTTCCTGAGTACGATGAAGGAGAGAAGCCTTTTCTTCCTGTAAGACAGAAATAAACATACAACTGCATTTTCATTCAAACCTCTTCAACCGTGCTCAGGATACTTAATGCAGACTTCAGGGATTGCTCAAAATGCCTAACACATAAAACAGAGAAAAGAAGGTGTTAATCATTTTCTGAACTCACAAGTTCGTGTCATGCAGCCCTCCCAAAAGAACAGTGATGGAAGGAAGTTATGTCCCTATGGAAAGGGACCAGTAAAGAGCAGCAAACTGTACTGATGCCTGATCTGTTTGTGGTCTCAGCATCCCAATTGCCCTGGCAAACATCACCCATTTACAAACGGCAGAGCTGGAGCACAATAAGGTCCCAGTCCCACCAGGTCATACCACAAGTCTGAGTGTTTTCCTTGCCTGGAGGGTACATAAATCCCTGGCCCAGGTGCACACAGCAAGCTGTGGCACGTTCAGAGCAATCACATCCTGTTCCAAAGCCCCACGCTTTTGTCTAACTTGCAAAAAGGCAGGAAGCTTTTATATTTACTTCTCATTTTTCCCAAAGCTTGTCCAGAAAAGATGTCAAGAGAGACACAGCATAAATGGCAGGGATTTTCTCTTTTAAAATTTTGAACTCTTCACCCAAAGTAAGACTATGCATCAAAATTTTCAGGACAATGACCTCACCAACAGAGAAAAAGACAAGAATACTAAAGTATTCATGAGGCCTCAAAACCCAATATTATTTCAACAGAAAAACGAGGCATTAACTTTTAAACCACAGTATTATACAAGTACTCATAGATTACAATATATAAACAAAGTTTTATGTGCAAGAATCTCTTATTGGGTGATTCTTGGTAATTTCCACAGAAATATACAAAATAATTCAAAATTTTGATGCACAGTATTCAGTTTCCACTGCAGGCAACAGGAGATGAAAGCACCCTGGCACTTTCCCATATCCAATCTAAAACACACAGCAGATTTAAAGAAACTATTTTCATTTTTTGACACTACGACACATATGACAACTTCATTTTTCTCTGCATGCCCCAATTAGCCTAGAGAAGTTAAGAACTTAAAAAACACTCAAGCAGAAAATGTACTGTATTTTAATATAGAATAATCAATTTGAAGTTGGCAAACAAATATTTATAAAATATTTAACTACACCTGAAACTACTGTGCTGGAAAACTTTCAATATCTACAGCAGATACAAAAAACGAGAGCAAAACTTCTGCATTTCTTTTCTGGTGATACAGAGGAAGCAAAGTCATGATTCTCTTAGTTTCTTTAGAATAGAAAATACTCTTACACAGACCACCAAGAGAGTGAAAAAGAAAAAAAAAATCCCACAAGAAGGTTAACCATCTTTCCTCTAAAGACCGTATTTATGGCCAAAGACACCACTAACTACAGCTATTGCCCTCTAAAGACAGGGTTTGTTCCATGTGTTAAACGCACCACAAACAAACCTAAGGAAATCTATACATAAGGATGATGCATCTCCACTCAAGCAGTACAGAAAGCCACACACAAAGACAAAACAAGGTACTAAATTAATAACCAACAAATGGCTTTAAGTTTCAGGACTTTTTCAACAGCTGGTACCTGATATATTAAAGTAGTTGGTGAAATTTCCCAGTTTAGAAGTGATTGTTCTGCAGAAAGTAACTATCACGTAAAGTGCCTTTCTGCTTAGAAACAAGGTTTTGTAATTTCCCCTCACACTTCAGAGAGAATTGAAAACAAAAGCAGAACAAAATACAGGAAAAGGAAAACAAATTGCTGCGTGTGAATAGAGAAGAAAATGGTATGAAAAAACACAAGTAAAGACAAAAAATACAAATCATGAGTAGATAAAGGGAAGTAAGTGGCCAGAGGGTTTATCAGAAACAATTTCAAATCCCTAGAAGAGGGCAGGAGATATAACAGAAAGTGTATCCTTAGTGTATCACCAGCTTTTCACTGATGAAGAACTGGGTGTCTTTGTAGCAATCGGTCTTTAATCCAATCGACTGTGAAACCAACAAAAGTTAAGTTTTTCGTCAGCCACATACCTGCTTTGAGTACTTGTAAAGAAAAATGCCAACTTGTTAAAGTATAAAATAGATAAAATAGAAGAACTATCATAAGACAATAAAATATTCAGGTAAGCACAACCCACCTGTAACAAATCATTATGGGTAAAATAATACTATTACTGATGTTCACAAGATATACACAGATCATAACTATTACTAAAGAACACATTTAAATTAAATTCAAGAGAATTACATCCCCTTAAAGCATTATTAAACTAAGCTGGAATACACTGCCACTTCAGAAATTAAAAAGTAACCATGCATGTGCAAAAGAAAACAAGCCTGCAGTAGGAATGAGATGAAAAGAACAACGAAATAATTTTCCAATACAAAGGGCATGCTATCAAATAATTTCTTAAAGAGAGTTAACTGCAGCCACCCCTGAAATCCTCCCTGAATTGGCCCTTGACAACCAGCACTGTGAAAAGGAGCCAAACTCAGTAGCTGTTGCTCTGTGTCTGGTTGTGAATGACAACAGCGTTACTCAAGTGACACATTTGACAACTCCCACCCAGAGCGACAGGCGCACCTCCAGCACCTCTCCTGCAGCCGACAGCAGGAGACGGCCCGAGAGGAACTCCCAAACATCACACCTGGCTCCTACTCCCCACTGTGCCTTGGTCCTGTGCTGCTCATGCCGCCGTCTTTCTTCACCTGCCAGACAGGAACACATCAGGTGTTGAATCTTCCTTCCAAGGCAAGCAGACAAGGCTGGGGGAACAAAGCATGAGCATGTCCCGACGCTGTCACGCCTAACTCAAAAGGAGTGAAAAGCCATTCCCTGGATCACTGAACTTTTTATGGTGCGTTCTTCTTCCTTCAGGCCTTGCCCTCCCAAGTGCAGAACAGGGAATACACCGTCCTTGAGTTTTCATGCAATGTAGGAGACACCTGGCAGTCCCTTTCCTGCCTGATGTTTTCTCCTATGAGAAAGGACAACCAACCTCCTGCTCTAGCATGCTGAGCTGCAGCACCATGAAAAACCCAATTTGAGAAGTGTCCTGGGAGGCACGGCACAAAGAAACACGAAAGCAAAACACAGTGTGACATTACAGATGACTCAAGGGGTAAGACAGGAGGAGAAAGAGGTGAAAACAGGGAAGCAGACGAGGACAGTACACAGAAAGGAAAACGTGTGACTGCCACCAAAGAAATGTTGAGTAACATCTGAAATGTTCATTTGTACATGGGGATAACATAGAGTTCCATGTACTGTGCTATTCATCACAGCAAAGTTCTGGGTGGCAGAACTGCTGTAAGGCAGCAGCTGAGAGCAGCTGACAGTGGAACCATGTCAGTGTCAGTGCTTCAAAAACAGCAGTTCAAACATTAATGAAAAAAAAAGGAAGTTATTTTCTTACCCTTATTTTGCTGAAATACACTTTTTGGTTGCAGAAGTATGTTTGCAGAGCTCCTAGCTTTCACATCCTAGACAAAGACTGAATAAGGTACACAAATACAGAAACTATTACTCTTTTCCTTCTGCATTTGAACACTTTGTCCTGAGAGAAATAAATTTTCAGCCTTCTTGGCTCAAAATCCAGATTCAGAAAAACAAAATGTACACATAATTAAATGCTTTTCAACACTTCTAATATTTGTTGACTCTTAAAATCTGAAATTGAACATTCCTGGACAGCTATGTTAATCAAGCCATCTTATAGCAAATAAATTTAAAACCTAAATATGCCCAGATGCAAAGATGAAACTGAATAATTATTTTCAAGTATTAGCTAAACACTGATTTAAAAAAAAAATATTAATAGCACACTGAAGCCAAAAAATTAATATTATTTACAAATGTTTGATGCTTCTTTATAAACGAAGAGGATTTATTTTGGTTAATAGCTAAGAATGTTTTGTATTTCATATTACAAGAGTTCATGCAAAGTACAAAGCATGACTTTTTATGCAATTTTCTTTAAAAAACAAATAAACACTTGATCTTTTTATATTTTGTGGACAATTATAAAAACTTGTATGGTTTTCATCCACAAAATCCAGGAACTTGAATATTTTTTTCTTTTCTTTTTTAAAATGAGGAACATGACTTTACAGATGAATTTTACTTGAACCACTTAAAAATCAGTAATGACTCCCAAAACAAATGAAGTGACCTAAACAATTTATAGAATAAAATTCCTTTTAACACAAGTATTCAGTAATTCCATCAAATAAATGGAAAATTTTCTAACATTTATTTTTACAGAACAAATGTGGCCGCTGGGAGATACCCCTACCTTCTCCATAAAGTTTCTATTTCCCGACATTATTTTAGACAAGATGAACTCCAACTGTTTTTTTTTAATCTGAATAGTAAAAGAAATTTGCATTTTAAAAGGCTTACAATGTCTTGAACTGAACCTCAACAATGTAAATTCCATTGAACATGTCTGAGTATGCTCAGCAGCTTGAAATATTCTGCTTTTAACCAGTTCGTGATTCTTCTTAATAATGATATAAATAACCAGAAATATGTTTATATGTAGAGCAGACAATGTTGCAGAAGAAGGGAGTTTGAATTATGCCCAGGAGGAGGCATTTGGCCTGGCAAAGCCTGGCCTCACTCAAGTCAATGTCACAGTGCTCGCTAGAAAACACCTCAGCATTTGAGCTGAAATGTACTGCGGGGTGTCGGGAGGATCTGGAACCTCTTCTATCATGGTACCCACAAAACCACACACAGTGAAACCAGAGTTTGACTGGAGGATCCAGAAGCCAACTGAAATGCAAGAAAGCTGCTTTTACATTTATGCTCAGTTTGTCCCTATTATGGTTTTGAAGATGTATATTGTACACAGAGCTATAGGTGAGTGACTTCTGTTGGTGTCCCTGCCCTTTATGGCAAAGGTGTTGAACTGGGTAATCTTTAAGGTTCCTTCCAACCCAAACCATTCTGTGACTCATCATTTTCTTAGATGCAAGTGGGAAAAATGTATTTATAGAAGCATTTT